GAAGAGGAGACAGGTCTCTTGAATCTGGTCCTGTTTTCTAGGCCCCGGTCCCAGTCTCCTCCTCCAAATGTTTTGTAAACTCTGGATAATTGCACAAGCAGCCAACTGTGTGGGAATTTCTCTGAAGCAGACCCAAACGTCTGACTCTTCTGCTGGCCCCTCTGGGTAGCTGGTTCCCCTTCCAGCACACATGCCCTGCCAGGTCTTCTTGCAAAGCCTTTATTTTTGCACCCTTCCTTCACAGGAGACTGCACAAAAGGCAAGCTCCAAAATTAGAAGCTGTATGTGCACGCACACGCAGCAGAAACGCAGCAAGCTGTTGTCAGGTCTCCGCAGTACAGAGCGCCCTTGGGGCTGCCATTCAGACTGAAATCCCACATTCACCCCGGTGCTGGTTGCACAGAAGCCCCTAAGGACATCTGGACACAAATATACGGTTCCTCCACAGGCAGAGGAGTTCCCAAGCAAGAATATGTCTGTCAACGGTGGGTAATTAGCATGTCTATCCAGTTATTTTAGGGGTGGTGGAATAACTAAAGGAAGGGAGAGCTGTGAGGCGTATTGCCCAGGGCCAGCTCTAGGCACTGGCAAACAGACAGCCGGGGCCACACACGGGCCCTTGCCACGCTGCTGCCCTAGCCCAGGGGCAAGGCTGGTAGGTGCTGCTGGCGGAGAGGGGTCAACCGCCACGCGTCAGAATTGCAGCCCTGGCAGCGGTACGAGTGGCACCAACACCCCCGTGCACCGTGCCAGAGGGGCAGCTCCCTGCCTGATGGAGCCAAGCACTCAAGCAGCTGGCCTGGCAAAGGGGGATTAGGCCAGGAGTTAACCCCACACCTCCTTCCGACATTGTGAAAGAGCAGCAAGCACAGCAAGGAGCAATTTGGAAGTGGACCCAGAGCCCCTCTCCCTTTCCATCTCCAGCTCTCTGCTCAAGCTCTCCAGCTTGGAGGAGGCACCCAGAGCCCCATGGGGCACTCAGGATTCTGGAAGAGGAAGGTGTTAGGTGAGCACCTAGAAGCGGGGTGAAAATGGCTGAGAGAGGCTGGCTGCAGAGATTATCCATCCCACTGAACGCAGCAGGAGCAGTGCAGCACCCACCCGGCTGGCGCAGCTTCCCCGGTCATTCAGCTCGGAGCCCTCAGCACGGGAAATGGCTGCGCACCTCATCGTCCCAAGACACTAACCTGAGAGAGGAAGGGCAAGCCAAGGCTTCCTCCATTTAGCTGGATCTGTTTCTCCAGGTGATAAAGCCACTGCTTCAGCTCTGACTCAGTAGGACAGAACACGATAAGGGGATTCAGCAGAGGACCTAGGTATGCGAGACACAAGATGAGCTGAGCAGATAAGGGCACCCATTGCAGCATCAACAAGTAATCAGCTGGCCAGAGCTGTTACGCTCGGCACATCACACCGTGGGTTGCCTGTGAGTTCATTGCTCTGCTGACATCATGCTCCAGTCCCTCCTGCCACTACCTTGAGCACGTTGCCTCGCATCAGGCTGCTGGGGAGCTCCGCGGCAAGGACTGCTCCAGCACCTCCTCACCGCCTGCTCATGCAGCCACATCTAGCTCTGACCACCAGCCACTTTTCAGTCCAAAACCAGGCCAAGAACAGAAATCAAAGACAGTACAAAAGTCAAGCTTGAAATCAACAGACAGGTTTCAGCTTTAAAACAGTTTGTGAAAAGCATCTCTGCCGGCAGAGACTATCACAATGTGCTGCTGCAGACGGCCTAACTCAATGCAAAAGTTTCATGCTATTTCTTAGTTTCGCTTTGGCACTCAGTATTTCTTGCTTCACCAAATATAATCTGTGCCAGACAAGCTGAAGCTGCTCCCAGACATACTCCCGAAGGGAGGAACAGCCCTGGATCTTGTTGATTTTAATGTTTCCAGCTATCATTCGCTTAGTAGCACGAGCAAAAAAGTCTCACACACCCTCTGCTACTCACTACAGACATAATCTAATGACGTTAATAATCATTTCTGGCAGGCTGCAGAATGTATGTTATGATTAATAATTTACTGGTGATCTCATATTAAACCATACTTGGTGCATGCTCAGTAACATCTGGCTTTGCGGGACTTGGAAATATTCAGATAAGCAGGTGCACTGGGTAAGAATGATACTTTGCCCTTCTGTGAAGTCTTTCATCCCATAATTCCTGCATTATTTGTGAGCAACAGTTAATTAAGACTTTGAAACACATCTGTCTATCAGGAAATGCACTAATACAGACAAAGCAGAGGTGGGGAAACTGAGGCAGAGAATCCCTGAGTGACTTCCCATAAGTCACTCCATTCAGACCCATTACAGTAATTAGGCGTCAAGCATTACTGGGCATCCAATGTCTATGCGCCATTGTGCCTCTGGAGCTCTCTTGTCTCCTCTTGCCTCAGTTTCCCTGTCTTTGCAATGGAGATAGTGTGATTCCCTCTTTATAGAGTTGTTAGGAGAGTATAAAGATGCTAACGCTATCTAGATATTCTGGCAGCTCTGAATACTCCTCTGGGCATCCAGGCCCTTATACAAAAAGCAGGAATCTTTCTGGTAGGGCATGACCCTTAACACGGCACTGCTCGCTCTGCCACCCTCTCCAAGGCCAGCCTTTCAGACGTATCCTGAGGGCTGTTCACGTTGCCACGTCTAAACAGGGCCCCAAAGGAAGAGAAAATGAGAAGAGAAACTCCTGCCTAAGCCTGAAGCCTGAGACATGCCTGAAGCTCTTGCAAGGAGCTGCTGGGGAGGCTGTGAAGAGAGCCTGAAAGGCTGCTGCTAATTCAGTTGCTGCCATTTCCCTCAGCCCCAAGGGCATGTTTGCGGCAGGGCCATGACACAGCCGTGCTGAGAAATCTGTGCCGGTCCTCGTGCTCTTTTCTTCTGCCCTGTCCTTCCTCTTTCCTTGCGAACGCTTCCAGAGGAACATCGGAAGCAAGAAAGCCACTTCCCAGAGCAGCAGAAGTTTATTCCCACTCAAATCTCTCTGTCTGGAGACATTAAAAAGCTGCGACATTTGCAGGTGAGGCAGAGGTAACTCAAGGTGCTCAACCACCTCATCAGCATCAGAGCCTGGACCTCTGATGGACCACAAGCCAAGGTGATGGACCACAAAGCCAAGGTGATGGCCAACTGCCATCCCCTCCTCCGTGCCAGTGCACCGAGGGACGGCTCTGCACGCTGCCGGGCTTCATTCTCGCACTCCACCTCCACACTTCCAATGATCGTGCCCTAGAAAGTGCAGTTCATCGGGAACTACTGATGCCACAGGATTTCACAAGAGAATGGATGCCTGTCTTTTGTGTCTCAGAGTCATGAGATGAAAGACTTCCACCCCGACCCTGTGTGTGGCCACAGACAAGGCTCTTATCTCCTCCGTGCCTTGATTTCTCCCCCTTTAGCAGAAAAATAAAACTGCTCCACTGATCTCCCGGCAATCCTAAATATTGCTACCTCCCTGGTTTCTTCGTGTCATTGCTTCCTGATATATACAGCGCTCTCTGCCAGAAAGGCTTTG